GGCGCGTGGGACAGCCTTGGCGTGGACCGCGGCCTCAGAGTAAGTAGGAGCGCGGCGAGAGTCACGAGAAAGGACACTCGAGGCTTCAAGAAAGGTCGAGGACTGAAAGGAAAAGTGTGTGATGTGGCGACGGGGCGCGTTTGGGGCCGGTGCCGGGGATCGGGGGGGCGTGCAAATCGCGTGCAACACGGATTTGGCGACTTCTCGAGATGGGAGCCGATGGTTTGAGAGGGCCCTGGCGATTTTTTGGATGCGCGCACTCGCCGGTTGATGATGGGGGAGTAGTGAAGACACAGCTGGACAAGATGCGGCGTGATGGTTGGTGCGGTATTGAGACGGCTGGGCACAGTATTTTTCAGCACGGCCCCCTGCAAGAGGGGACCGCAAGCATGCAGGCTCCAATGGGGCCTGAGGCACCCAGTATTTATGTATTAGATAAGCAATAGAATGCTTCTGGTTGGCTAGTTGGTTGACTATCATTACAAGCACGTGACATCCCCAAGCACCCTCGCGCTGCTGTCAGGGTATTCTCCATGGTTGATGTTCTGAAGCACAAAGGATATGGAGGTGTCCGTTTGGAAGCGAGATCGTCGCTCCCATTCTCACAAACACTGTGGCTTCGAGCTCCACAAACGGGCGAGTGGAAAACCAATCCTGCCTGGCCTTGGTTGCAGATTCCTAGAGTGGCTGCGCCCCGGTGCTGTTACGGAATGGCTCAAAGGCATGTTACACGGAGCCTAGAAAAGAAACTTCTTTGGTCTGGACTGTCCGTTTGCTGGACTCTTGTCCCGACGGCAAGGAATTGGACAGGATGCATCAGCGCCCTCACCTCTTGAGCCTCTTCTTGTCAGGGCCCGCTTCCTCCTCGTCGCTCAACTCGGCGTACTGAGTCTCAGGCTGCGTCTTACTCCAGGCCTTGGTGAACATGGGATCACTCTTGGCCTTGTCAGCGTACTTTAGCAAAGCTTCTCGTGGATCCTCGTGCAGCATGCGCGCAAGTGGGATATTCTCCGCGACATGCTTCTCGTCCGGCTGGTTCTTCTGGAAAGGCGTCTGCTGGGGAATATGCGGTCGTCGTGGATCCTTCGATCGGCCTGATGCGGTAACTCCAGATTTCCTCGATCCTCCCATAGCACCCGGTGTCACAATAGAATCGCCGGATATGCCAAGGGACTGGTCCATCGTCAATTCAGGGTTGTCATCGATATGGCGCTTCTTCGGGGCTCGCGACATGACATCTACTGCTCCTCGGGTCGACATCTGGGGGTTGTACAAGACGTGTGTCTCGGCATTAGCTGAGCCTGTGATGATTTGGTTAATCTTGGGATGCCAATCCACTGTAATGAGGGGCGATCCAGGCGTTATGGGAGTGACATGTTCCGCACGCAGATTGCCAGGGTTCAGAATATGGAGGTGTCCTGTAACTGAGCCTGTAATAATGCTAGTCGAGTTCGGCGCGTATTTGATGTTGCTCGTCGGGTAGTGATCCGAAGTCGAGGGGTGCGAAACCGTGACGAGAGGTTTGGTGAATTTGCGAGTATCCCAGAGCTTGATCAAGTCGTCGCCACCTCGCGTAACCACCATGCGACCATCTGAAGAAATATCGATGCCGCTGGTCCATGTCTGAGGCTTGTGGGCGTCGCGAACCTCTCCTGCCGGTCGCGAGAAAGGACTGTTGCCGCTGTACATGACGAGTGAGCCATCGAGAGCTGCCGCGACGAGAATGTTGTTGCCTCCTTGTGCTGGAGTTCCCCATGCGACCGCGGTCATCTTGGTACGGCCAGCAGAACCTGCGGCCTTGGACTTGAAAACAACGACATCCCTCTGTTTGCGTTTGTTGTTGATGTCCCAGATTCTGAGTGTGCTATCCGTACCAGCAGTGACGCAAAGGTTCTTGTCAGTGGGATGCCACGTCCCTGTTGAAATCTCGGAAATGTGACCCTTGGTATTGTTCATGTCACGAAGGTACATATCTCCCTTGACAAACTCCGTGATAATGTCGCCGTCTCGAGACATGATCTTGGCCTGTGGGTGCGCGGAAACGCAGAGGAAAATACCTCCAGCGAGAGGGTTGAACTCGATGTGGTGGATTGGGTGGGATTCGGAGCTCGCTGCTGACGCCTTCGTCTCGTAGGGATCAATGGTTCGAAATGCTCGCAATGTGGTCGGGGTCATGGAAGCAAAATCGTGGAGCTTGATAAAGCAATCTATCGAAGCGGTCGCTAAACGTCCTCCCGCGGGATCCAGAGAAACAGTGGTTACGGCGCGGTCGTGGGTCTTGAGTACGAGTTCGTGAGATACGGGAAATTCATCTTCGTCGTCAGAATCGTCCGAGTCATCGCTGTCGTCGTCCTCGTCGCTCGAATCCTGCTTTTTCTTTGGTTCCTGGCTCTTCTTGACCTGTCCACTGCTGGCCTCGGGCGCGCTGATGGGCACCGTTCTTCGACTCCGGTCGATCTGGGCTGCGATATCGGCTTCCTTCGACTTCTTGCCAAATGACGTGGGCAGGAAAGCCCTCATGGGATCGTCCTCGGCCAGATCAGGCACCTCGACCTCGAAATCATCGTCGGAACTCATGGCGGGCAGCTCGATTGCCAGACGCCAAAGAGGTGAGGGAAAAGAGGAGGAGGTTACGTGGGGGGCGAGGGAGGGTGGGCGAGATTTAACAAGTGGCAGGCAGGCGGGTGGTGGCCTTGTCAAGCGGCTTTGCCAGGCGACGCTGCAGTGGTTGGGTTGGGCTTTGCTTTGCTTTGCATTGGGAAAATGTCTTTCGTCCACCGCCCCGATTATTTTAGGCGTTTGCGGGGGTGAGATGGTAGGGATGGTTTATCATCTCATCAACTGCCGATTCTGAATCACACGCTCGAAAACTCTGCGAGACCACTGGTTTCCATGTCACGGCTTTCTTTTGGTCTATGTAATCTGTTGGTTCACTATCCTGGACGCCGTACCCTTGATACGAGTCCTGAAACTCAAGTCTGGCCTCCTTTTGATCTCTGGTGATGTTTGCAATCCTGAGTTGTTCACCAGACCGCCAGGTGGAGTCCCTTCTCTTGGTCCGGTTTCCATTGACATGCCACGACGCCACGTAGATGGTGTCACTCTGAGGATTCTTCCGGCTAGACCTAGAGCACACCGTAATTTACATGGCTAAGTGTGTACGCTAAGCTGGGGGTTGGGTTTCTCAAGCTTCGTGACTTCCTTTGCCCACGAGTTCAGCTTGATCGGCGATATGGGGCACTTTTTCTCATTTTTATTTATGCCTCAAGTTTCTCAACGACTGCTGCTAAGAACATTTGAGGGACATAAGTTAGGTTTCAGATTCCTGGTTGGGTAGCGGCGGAGAGTGGAAGTTGGTCATTCACCAGGTTCAGAATACGGCAACCTGCGTGAATCACCCCCAGCCACACAAGCTCGACAGAAACTCAATAATCATCTACGGCGATGTTTGACAGATAAAATTCACAATATGGCCATGGAAAATCACAGTTTCCTCCATTTTATCCCCTCTTACTTTAACTGATCTGTTTCGGTATCGAGTTGAAATTGAGTGCCCTGATTGGTCACTCACCGATGCCGGCTCCGTAGCTGGTCGCTCACCGAGAACCCGTCACTCTTGACGCGAACGAAACTCCCAAACGATTCCTTCTTCACCATCACGTCAAAATGCCACCAGATCCAATTCTAGACGAGGACGAGCAATACGCTTCCTCTGAGGACTCCGACTTCGCCCCAGATGCCGCGCCCGACCAGACTTCCGACCATTCTGGCTCCGAGGATGGCGACAACAGACCGAAGCGACTAGCAAACAGCCAAGAAGCCGACGAGGCTGGATATGATAACTCTGGCGACGAGGCCATCATAAAAAGAGGAGAGAAGCGACGCAAAAGGACACGCGGGAAAGGGACCCACGGCGACGAAGATGAAGGGGGAGAAGGTGGCTTAATCAAGACTCGAAGGCAGCGGGCGGCAGAGTAAGGGTGCTTTTCAGAGTCCGATAGGCATGGTTTGCTAACATTGGCACAGAAAAGAAGAGCGCAAATATGCTACGAACAACGAGCCCGTCACCGTCGACGTCGATGCCCTCTGGGCGCAAATGGTTTCTGGAACCTCGACTACTGAAAGCAAAGCCGATAGCTCGAATGCGGACAGCAAAGATCCAGAGAAACAGGGCGAAAATGGTCAACCGACAGCCGACTCTTCCGCCGCGGATGATCCTTCAACCATGATACGAATCAAGCGCACATATAACTTTGCCGGTCGGGTACACACTGAGGAGAAACTCGTCCCGCGCGACTCGGCCGAAGCCAAGCTGTATCTCGCATCGCAAGACCCCGAGGCACCTACAGATAGCTCAACAAAGCAAGTCCCGAGAAAAGCCTTTCGATCAGCTTTCGAGCCCCGGATCGATATTCTACCTCAGCGAGCAGACCTCAACCTCGGAATGGCCGCGCGAATCAAGGCGGGCAAGGAAGCCCAGGCCAAGAAGCTCAACGTAGTGGAAAAGAGTCGCATGGACTGGGCGGGCTACGTGGACAAGGAGGGCATCAAGGACGAGCTCGAGCTGGCGGGCAAGTCCAAGGACTCGTACATGGCCAGGGAAGACTTTTTGGCAAAGAGCGAGGCTCGGAGAGACGAAGAGTCGAGGAGAGCAAGGTTGGCTGGGAAGGCCTAAGTTTTTGTTCAGCATTACTGGCGTTGGGGATAATGATACCATGGGTCATGTCATGCACCATAGGGAAGGACGGTTTCACTTCAGGTCTAAGCTCCCTAATAAAAGCACATATGTAGAATAGACTTGGTTTACGCCATTAGGATATGAATGTACCAAGTCAAATTGACTTGGTCTCTGTATATCTCCTGGGAGTGGCTGTCTTGATGTTATCGTATCTATGGTGGGGCAGCCTTGCAAGGCTGAGAAACACCACCCAAAAATTTCCATGTCGACTCCCATCCAGCCTCTTCCTTCACCAATCCACAACCAACAGACCTTGCCCAACATGGCCGTTCTAGGCAAGCGCAAAGCTCGTTCCGAGCCCTCGATCTCTAAAGAAGACGCCGCTGCCATTTTCCGCCGGCATTTCGAAGCACAATTCGCACCGCTACCTGGCGCAGATGTCAAGTCCAAGTCAAAAGCTACGAAGCGCGACACCGAAGATGAGGACGCAACCAGCGTAGATAGCGATGAGGAGGAGGATGACGAAGAAGGATCTGAAGACGACGATGAATGGGGTGGTCTCTCTGAGGATGAGCAAAGCGAGGAGGAAGAGGGTGAGTCTCGCAAAAGCAGCCATGGCGAGAGATGGTTAACATCAAGCAGAAGTTTCAACGATAGAGGTCGTAGACCACTCAGGTGCACAACCACCCAAGCCGACTACAATGTCAAAACGAGAGCTTAAGGCCTTTATGGTAATTATTCAGCCTCCCTGTCTATTCAGTCCTCTAAACTAACACATCTACTCAGTCATCACGTCCCCCAGACCAAACTTCTCGCAAAACCGAACCATCGACAACACCCGCAACCTCCTCATCTGCACTCCCCGAAGACGCCCCCTCTCTCCTAGCCCAAGATCTCGAACTCCGCCGACTCCTCGCTGAATCCCATCTCCTCGCCCCGGCCATCAACGGTGCAGGACATGCTGTTGCGGCCAAGGCATTCGACACCGGTCGCACCCGCAACAAGGCAACCGATCTACGCATCCAGGCCCTAGGTTCCAAGATTTCCATCCACAAGCAAGAGAAAATGCCCATGAACATGCGCAAGGGTATCGTTGCCGCAGCAGGTGCACGTGAGGCAAAGCGCAGGAGAGAAGCCAAGGAGAATGGAGTCATCCTCGAGCGCGAGACAAGCAAGAAGGGGCGACGGGAGAGGAAAAGGGACTTAGGTGTGGACCGTCCTGGTGTGGGTAGGCTCAAAGGAGCCGAGTTGCGACTCAGCGACAGAGACATCAGGGGTATTGAAGGGACCAGAGATGCATTTGGCAGAAGGGGAAGAAGGTAGACATGGGCCGGGTCTTCTTAACATCACAAGCCTCAGGTGCAGGATTATAAAGTCAAATTGCACAAACATAGTTCTCTCTCTCTCTAATGTGCTGTACATTCGACCATGTCTGGTCAAGAACACATGTTCTCAAGTCTGATGTCGAGACATTTTGTCTCTCTCAAGAAAGGAAGCAACCATATATATACAGGTTGCGTCCTCTTCACATCCCGCCTCAATGCAACACTGTTCTCCTTCATGTCGCTCAATGCCCGTAGACAGGAGCTTTTCCCTCAGGCCATCCGAGCATAAATCTATCAGGTTCTCATCTTTTAACCTCCGGATGAGCGCTTTGAACCGAAAATAAATGAGAATAAATGAAATGTAAAGACAAAGGAAAGTCCAGCGTAGGACGAAAGAATACCCATTGCAAATTCGACCCATGTGTGAAGCCATAAGTCCCTTGTAGTCATAACCCAGGTGCAAATGAAATGACAAATTCGTACGTCAGTCAACCGTTACATCATACCGCTAGCATTGATAGCTGCCGGCTGGCTGATGGTCATGGGCATGCTAAGAGTTTCAAGGCTGTTGAACGGTTGTGTGGGTGCCATGGTTGTGGGTGCAGCTGTGTTGCTCGATGGTGGGGTCGAGCGGTTGGCAACAGCGTTGAGAGAGCCGGTAACGTAGGCACTATCGGAGTGTGGTGAAGCCTCCTCCAGTGAACCGAGGTGGTCCTCGCCAGAGAAGTCCTCATCCTCCTCGCCAGAAAGGTTGAGAGGACCGTCAGTGCCGTCTTCCCGACCGTGAGTGCGCTTGTGTCTGAAGCAGGTGTTAGTCTGAGTAATCAGGTGGGAGCTAAGAGCAAGGGAACATACTGCGCCAGGTTGTCTGATCGAGAGAATGCCTTGCTGCAGTGAGGGCAGATATAGGGCCTCTCCTGGGTGTGAGTGCGCACATGTCTAGTTGATTAATTAGAATAACTTTAATAATACAGGACAGCAGTACCTACCGCTTAAGATGCTCTAGGCGCTTGAAGAGACGGCCGCATGTGGGGATGGGGCAGGAGTGAGACTTCTGAGGGTAGGGTCCGACCTCCATGACAGTGGCAGAACGAGCGCGACGGACCACACCACCGCTAGGGGCGGGGACAGATCTTCGCTGCTCGCTCATAGAACCTTCGCTGTGAAGATCCTCACTGGCAAGCTGGGGGAACTCTTGCTGGTGCATTCCCATGGGGTTAGCCACGGGGCTACCCTCAACAGTAGACAGGGGGGTGCCGTGTCGGGACATGTCCCTGTGGTGCTGGCTGTTGACCGAGACTGCTGAGGCACTGTAGGAAAGACCAGGAGGAGAGTTATCCGCAGACTCATCGCCCTCGGCGACGGGTCCAACGGAGGCGGACACAGACCGGCGAAGCTCAGAGGGTCTGTGGGTGTGGGTGGCTGCTTGGGCCGGAGCAGCCGGGGTAGGAATTGCCGACATAGTTGGGGGGATGGATGAACGCCGTCTTCTCTGCTTATATGTCGGCGAACCTTCGATCACAGAGTAGACGTTGTTTGTACCATAGGGACGAGAGAACTGAGGTCCAGCCAGGTTTGAAGGGGGCAGCTGGACCATACCGTTGAGACCACCCATGCCGGCCATGTGGTCAGGAATGGCAGAGTACAAGCCAGTCTCCTCGTTGGCGATGTACGCAGGCTCAGCAGAGATGCCCAGTGCCTGCTGGGGAGGCGTGATGGGCTCGAAGGAGATCCCTCGGTTGCTGTAGTCTTCGTATTGGGAGGAGACGAAAGAAGGGGCTGGCGAGTACTCAAGACCATAGGCGGGCATAGAGGCGTGTCGCTGGTGACCCTGCGAGATGGGGACACCGTTCTGGTTGTACTGGACACGGGTGAAGTCAGGTTCCCTCTTGACGGGGACGGGCTGGGCCATCGGATTGGCAACCGCCATCGCCCCATATGGTACCATTGCGTCCATCCCCTCCGCCAAAGGGGGCATGGATTGGGGCATCATTGTCGGGGGAGGCATCGAGTCCATCGCCCTCATCACTGGGGACGTGGACTGAGCCTGAGAAAAAGAAGCCTGTTGGGCGCTGAAGGAGGATGAGTTGGCTTGCTGGGCCTTGGTCAGCTGCTCATAGAGCGACTGAGACGAGTCGTATTGGAACGAGAGTGCGGGCTCGCTGACGGCGACAGTGGTAGCTTCCTGGCCCATCTTCTCGCGCTTCAAGTCGCGCTCCAGCGCGTCAAGGAAGAGGCGGTCATGTGGCACGCTGTACCAGTAGAAGACCTTTTGCTTCTTTTGGGTTCGGATGCAGTTGTTCTTGTAGAGGAAGTCAAGGAAGGCGCTCTTGGGCTCTTCCAGAGAGGCATCGGTTCCTGACTTGAGGTTTCGGAGGTCAGAAAAGATGCCTTCCTCGAACTTCTTGGAATTCTTCACGGGGCGGCCAAAAGCCTGGAATCGAAAAGACAAGCATCGCACAATGTCGGTGCCGGAGATGTGAAACAGGTTGTTCCTGCGCGCACAGTTAGTCACCCTGCCGAAGCGCCCGAAATCTCAGCCACCTACCAGAGAACGCAGGACACATATTCGCCTGTTGGCAGAAGAAATCGGCGAATGTACTGGTCGGGCTGCCAATCGACGGGAGCGGAGATGAGGAAGTATTTCACTGAGTACAGAGTCAGCTCGTGTGACTGAGGCAATTTAGTAGCAGCCAAACTCACAGTTGTCAACCTGCTGCAGCGCGACCTGAGCATCATGAGGCAGAGCTTGCTGAGCCTCAGTACTCAACATGAACGTCTCAGGCTTCTGAGGAGCCATGGCTGAATGTTGTGAATACATCATGTGCTGTGTTTGAAGAGATGTCTGGGATGACGTGACCGGGCGGCCAGTCGTGTCGTTGGCGCTCAAAGGCCCGGTGAGATTGTCGAAGTGATTCGGTGCAGTTCAATTGGATCGCAAGTTGAGAAGCTGTTGTCGACAAGCAAGATGTGATGAGATGAGTGTGTCGATTGATGGCGATTGTGGAAGGAGATGGTCTGGCGCAGCCTAGATCCGAGTGGAAATAAAGATGATTTGAGATGATGCGTCTTGACCAAAATTCGAGACCAGCCCGGAATAATGGAATCGCTGCGCAATGCGATTCAAGACCCAGCTACTACGTCTAGCGAACGAAGCTGGGAGGCGTCGAGGGAGCAACCGTCAAGGCGTTTGGGCGATGGTGGGGGATCGAAGCCGTTGTTTCGCGCGAAACGAGGGATCGAAGCCGGATTAAAGCTGTAAGCGAACAGGAGAAACAAGAAATGAATAAAAAGGATCAACAGAGCCAAAGAGCAATGTTCATCAAAGCGAGCAGCGACCTCGTGATGGTGTAAGAGAAACGAAGGACGGCTGACGGCGAGGAGTCGCGTTGAAGATGAACCTGGAGCGTCGAGGGGGGGAAGGAGGCTTCTGTTGAAAGGGAAGAGAAACAATAAGTCTGAGGGCGACTCCGGAATGGGGCCGCGGAGGATGTGGAGCGAGGGGGGGAAGGAAGGGAGAGAAAAAATGAAGAGAAAACAAAACGACAGAGAGAAGAGATTTCAGAGAGGAAATCCGAACGGGCGGGCGAGGATACACGGGGGTTTAATGAGTTGTTGGTGGTGGGAGCGTCGCGCGCGGACGGGAGAAGGTAATAGAGGGCGAGAGGGAGACAGACTGGACTGGGAGTGGGAGTGGGATAAGGCAAGGTACCTTTAGTGCAAGCCCAGGCGCACCTGCCCGGGTGGGTTGGGATTGGATAGGCTGGACGTGGACGGACTGGGCTGGATGGATGGATGGATTGGATTACTACCACCTCGAGCACGCGCCAAAGGGCGAACGACGGAGGTTGTGAGTGCGCGAGCGAGGGCGGGAACTGAGGAGCAGCCACATACCACGCACGGTGCTTTTTAGGGGAGTGAGGTGGGATGGAGGGTGGAGGGGGAGGTACCGCAAGTACCGCTCAGTTTGCCAGGTGGAGGAGGGCTTGGTCGTCAGCAGCGGGAGCGGCGGGCCTGCCAATGAGGGATACCTGGCTGGGGCGTATCGTCTGTCTGGGGCATAACAAAGCACAGTGCGAATCTGGACAGTGCTATTTTGTTCTCCTCCACCATGGAGGCCAGGCCGCGCCCGCCAACTTGGATCATCACGCTTGCTTGCTGCCATGCCATGCCGCGCCTCTCCACCCACCACTAGATTTCCATCGAAATCTGCTGCTTGCTATAGTCCTCCCTCCCATGTCATTAATTCATTCCCTCCCTCTCGTCCGCACTTATACCACTAGCATTGATCTCCTCTTTGTCCGGATGATAGAACCCCTGGTCATGCAAAAACTGGGCCGCCTTGCTTTTGGCCAGGGAGGGTAATGCCCATGGCATGGCATGGCCGACAACAACAAAACACCAGCAAGCTAGGTACAGTGCCGGCGCCATACAGTACGACGCCATGAGCTTGTTGTTTCTTTGGGGCCGTCGTCAAGAGGCTTGTGCCCCAACGCGTTTGGCTCTAATGTCATCTTTTTTGTGCCTCTGCACAAATTCCCATGCCCGGAGACCACGACCTGGGCTTGGGAATCGGCGCTGGGGCGCGTGGGCCGGTGGATGCACCCGAGTGTTTAATATCGCCGGTATGTCGGTAGGCGGAAGGCGTCGAGGCAAATCTTGGGTGGCTTTGCTGGGCTCTTCGCTGATGACCGAGCACACAAACCAGGATAGCACAGAAACAAGACTTCCCCGGCGGCACACGATGGATCAATCGAGGTGGATGTCAACAACACCAAACCAGGGGGTTCGTCATTGGCTCCCCTTATTACCAGGTACGACATTGAGAGAGCTGGTGCCACACCCCTGCTTCAACAACCCACACTCCCTTCTGTGTCGGACGAGACTGACTGAATGGGTTTGGGGCCGACGGGGTCGACATGGATGGCGGAAACAAATCCAGAGTTGCATCTGCTGGGCCGTCACTTTCTTTGCTGTTGTTGATCGATGTCTCTCAGTCATTACAACGATGGAGACGGTCGAGGGGATGAGGACTGACAGAGCAGAATGCAAAATGACAAAGCACGTCGTCTGAAACCTGAACCAGAAGTGGTTCATGGGCTGGCCGCATCGTGCCGCCTGTCTCAGCCCAATAATTGGATCCAGAGACCACTCTGAAGCCTAGCTCCAAGATTCCCAGGGCCAATCTAGGCCAATCTCCAGGCCGCTGCATATTGTCCAAACACCGGGGCCAGTAGGAGCTGTTGAAGGGCAGTGTGTGCAAAATAAGGTAGGCGGCACATGGCCACC